AAACGTACAGCTGTTATATCGTCTCCAGGAACAAACGAGAATTGACGATGATGGCGAGAGTCATCTTGGTGGCTTCTTCGATCGCACCGGAGATCAGTAACCGTATCCTGGCTTGACTGGTTTTGTGTGAGAGATGTGGATGTAGAGTCTGTCCGGCTAACAATGCCAACCTCCTCTATAAATGTTGACTCTTCGGTAGACACGCGCTCCCTCCTGGCACTACGTTTGTGTGGCGACATGTCTGCTGTGCCTCGTCCATCTGGACCAATCGAGAGTATAGAAGCGCTTCGTGGATGCAATTCTTCTCGGCCTTGCTCGGGACGTGTCTTTCCATCACTGTCTGCATGTGTCTCAAGTGGGCGAGCGTCGGTTGTTACTTTCTTCTTCTTGAGGTGGTCGTGGACCCGGAACCGTCTACTCAACCTGATCTCGTTGCTGGTGTCCATGGTTCGTGTTCGAGATACTGCCCATAAGACGTTAGTATGGAGCAGATATTAAACAAGTCTGGAAATGAGCATGAACACTTACACACTGTATCTTGCCGTGTTAGCAAGGTGGGATTACGTTCGTTCTTGGCAGTGACTTCAGGGACTGTTTTACGTCAAATGTCAGTGTAATCAAGTGCTTTACGGTTGGATATACTTACCTCTATTCGAGGTGTCCTCCTCGACCACGTCACTATTGGTGCCTCTTTGACCTCCTGCGGCAGCTCCAGCTCTTCCCCTGAGGAGACTACCGGCCCTGGCGAGTGCAACACCCTCCATGCCTTGATCAGACGTTCGATGAATAAACATCTCAAGGCGTTTAACCTCAGCTTTGTACCGTGCATCCTGGACCATCCAGTGTTCTTCTATGGAGCTGTGTCTACTTGCCTCGTCCTTGAGTGCCATTTTTGCTTCTGCAAGCTCTCTTTCGAGCTTGGCAATCTTGCTGTGTCGAGTACCATAAGCTTCGCAAAGGAGTAGGATATGTGAGCGATACTCTGCGGAAAGTGCTTCGCTTGCAGGATTGGACATTACTGCAACTTGCAAAGTTTCTGCCACTTGGTCAATGGAAGGGTTGTGCCAGATCTGCTGGCCTGCATTGATGAACAACTTGTCTACTTCGTCCAAACTGTATCCCGCCTCGGCCGCCGTGGGATTTGCCTGGTTTGCCTGAGATACTGCTTGCCAGCTAGGGAGTCGTGTCATGCTCTTCTTCACGCGGTGGCCATGCACTTCTTTGCTTCTGGGAGGATCTTTGTACAAGTCTTGTAGGGCTGCCTCGGAGCGACGGTACCTCAGATCGTGCTGTCGAGTTCTGTTGCCTCCAAGAAATCGTAGCCAGCTTTGATCCGCCATGATGCGTTGCATTTGTTTCGGTGTTTGTCTGCTAGGTATGAAGTGTTGATGAGGATGTTGGAATATGTACTCTGGCTGCCTGAGGTGTGTGACTGAGTAAGGTATCTGCTACTGACTGTCACTGTCACTGTCACTGCCGGTGACAGTCATTTTTACCTCGAGGACAACAAACTCGCTACGCGTGAATGCAGGCAAGTACGTCATTGCTGTTGCTCACAGTCCCTCACCATCCTAAGGTACCTATTTCATCTGCTGTTGGGTGGGCGCAAAACTTACCTACCTTACCTAGGTAAGGTAAGGTAAGGTAAGGTAAGGTAAGGTAGGTATACATTGTACCTGGGTGCTCAGTCGAGTTGGCATAACTGGAATAATCGGGTCTATCTACATACACTTCCTTTACGAGTCCATCATTATCACACATCCATTAAGCAATCCCCTGCCAGTCCAGAATCAAACAACTCTCAGGTGTTACAAACTCTGCCCTATTGCCATTTGTGCACTCAAACCTCCCCCTTGATCCACTCGCTCTCACTCAGCCTCCAACCAGTCCTGAATGAGCGTTCTGCTTCCGCAACAATCGATTTCATTTCCGATGTTTGCTCAGGCTCATCTGTTTGCAGGTAGCCCATCCTCCCCGTCGATGTTAATAACGCACGGGCTTGTCCCGGGCCAGGCTGTTCTGAGTAGTTCACAAGTGATTCGAGGATGGTCGAGCTGGTGTCTCTCTTGAGAGCCGGCTGAAGCGGTATTATACCGCAATCGTTCAACTCGAGAACCCTCGCTTTGACACTGCGAGGAGAATCGGATCTGCCTGGGACGCTAGTAGTGCTCGCTATGCTGGTATCAGTGTGCTCCATCTCCTCTTGGATATCAGATAGAGCAGTGTATTCATGCGCCGCGACCTGCTTTTCAATGTCTCCAGGGTCTACAGGCTTCTTGATCGGAACCTCGGGGAGAGGACGAGCTGAGGCTTTTGGTGGTGCAATCTTAGGGGCTACTTCGGTCAACCGCCTGGGACGTGTTGACGAACGGGGCTCCCCCTGGACCGACAGAGCATCATCCAACGCTGAGCTACTTGGACTCTCTGTACAAAGACCACCAATACGAAGGGGTTTGATTGAGTAAAACCCTTCGCTTGCGAGCTTAGCAGTGTCCTCTTCCATGCCGATTGAACTGTCGTCCAACTCAGGATCCGGCGCGAGGCTCAGTTGGCGCAGGTTTAGTAACGATCTATAGAGAAAACGGAAAGAGACGAAAGGTGACTCTTTTGAGTCGATTAGGATCCAATCGTAGAAACAGGCTTCATCTGGTGAATCGAGGAGACCACCAGAGGGCGACCTGCAACCTATTAGCCTAGCGTCACTGAACATCTATGCAAGGCACACCAACCCAATACCGTATGACTCTTGACCGCGGTGGCCTTCTAGTATGGGCAATCTTCGAACCCGGCCCTTGGCCCGAAAGACTTGGACCTCTATCAAGCCGCCATCTTCCGCAACTGATTGATGCGCGTGTGGAAGAAAAGAGAAGCAACGTGCCTCTATCCCATCCCTGATGCGTAACACGCCATCTTCCTTGTATTTCCAGCGCTCGCTTGGCTCACAGAGGGAGCGTGTGATGGAGCCCGAAGCTCCATTGAGAACTCTCACGCCACAGTTTGTGACGTTTCTGCCATTCATCAAGATCTTGAAATACAAGTAGCTTGGCAGTTGTGACGTTTCGTTGAGTGCATAGTGGATTCCAAATCGTGATCCTAAACCCAGTCAGGCAGTTCTCCTTGAAGGCTTTGGTTCAGACAAAGACAAACCTGGGTCTGAGGGGATGTAAACAGAAATCCGAGGACTGGTCTTCCGAAGTTGGCGTGGCAATGAACAAAGTCGGCTCGAGGCGGCGAGACTCAAGCAAGACAGTTGATTAGCAGACGGCAGAATACTCTGAGAGGAGGAATCCGAGAGAGGAAACTCGGGAAGCTTAGCCAGTTCGGGCTGAGTGACGATTGCAACTTCAATTCCCTCAAGAGAAGGCATGTTGCACAAGCTCCAGCAGGCAACCAGCGATCCGAGGAGGCCGTGTGCAGACAAAGATGAAGGAGGGCGTCTTTGAGGGTCGGCCTGTCGCAACTTAAGTAACAATATGCCCTTACTGACTGCGAGGAGATCCGAGTTGCTTGGAGATTGTTGATGAGAGGTATGAGGGGGAACTGGCGGCCAGCTGTTGTCGGCTGGCAAATACCTAGGACCGGCTACCTACCTACCTACCTACCTACCTACCTACCTAGGTACTAAGGTAAGGTACGCACCTTTCCCTCCCTGGCGCTTGTGCCTTGCTTTGGTTCCTGTCGCCCTTAGACTTGGACACATTACGATGAAGCAATTTCGGTCAGGCTCGCCCTTAGCCCGGTTTATGTGACATGGCTGCACATGTCGACAAGATTCCGAGCACAACACTGGCCTGCTTGGTGGTATTGCTGTAGAATTTTCGCAACATGGATCATTAAATAGGTACCTAGTTGTTTCATATCGATGGAACTGGCAGTCCTACCATTGATAGCTTGTCCAAAGTCCAAGCTGGTTTGGGCGTTGTCACGATTGGCAGCTTGAGCGAAACCAAAATTTATCCCTTCATGTGTAGCTAAGCGATACAGGCAATCCGGCTAGCATAAACAGCATTCGAGTGTCATTCATTGAGTATTTCCAGATCCATCCGTCGTCTAGCTTTGTCCTAGCACCTTCTTCGTATCTTCCTCCTTGTCGATGAGTCCTAGACTCCTTATTTGTTTAACACTGGGCGCATCATCGCGCGCTGTAGCGGACTCGCTTCGGGCGTAGGCGGCTTGCATAGCAAGAGCTCGAGCATGCTGTCGATTGCTGTTAATTGAATGTCCTACTATGCCGAAAGTAACGCCGAATCTGCATGCTTCAACCTACTTCCTTCTTGTGGTGGAGGCACTCGTAGTAATCTTCGAGAACCAGACCGCACTTCTTCTTGCCAGAGTCATCAGCAGCAGTGGTGTTTACCACATAGCATCCCATAACCTCCTGCCAGAAGGGAAAGCAGCGGCCAACGCCTAGAGTCCACGGAGATGTCGTCAGCCCAAAGAATGTTTGACTGGCTGCACGTGGGCGTGGATGCTCCCTTGATAGACTTACCGCCGTTCATGCCGTATCCCGACGCCATCTTGAGCCAATTGAGTATGTGTCGAGGCTTTGCGCGGGTCGGGCAGTATCTGATCGTTGAATCGCGGTTCGTTTGACGTTGTAATCGTGAAGTGCTTCCGGCTCTTGAGTTCCCGTACCTTGGCCGAGTAGCAAATCGGTGCCCGTGGATTGGATGGTGAAGTGGATCCTATCGGCTCACTGAAAATCACGCTTGCTCATGGATGTATGTGTGGCGTGGTATGTGTGGCTGTAGCTACCTCCCTGCCAAACTTAACCTTGTCCACCCTGTTCGGTACAGACGGACGGAGGTGCTCAGGTAAGGAAGGTAACCTGCCACTTTGTTAGGTACCTTAGTTGAAGCTGCCCCGGCTACTAAGGTAACCAACACATGGCCTCCTCTCCTTTTCCAATCCCAAAGCGAAACTATTTCTAAAAGCTTCACTAACACATATGCTCTCATTGAATCCATCATCCGACTGGGAATACTATCGTCGTCATCATCATGGCGGCTCATGTCACGTTGGGTCCTGCGAAGCTGGTGCTCTTGGCTGTACACCTCGCAACCATCGCCGACATTGATAGTTTGACCTATCTCATTGGTCAGCATGCAGTAATACTACGGCCAGAGCTGGTACTCCGAATCATTCTCACATATCTTCCCGAAACCCTCAGTCCGGCAGTATATGTACCTCTCATACAATCCATAGCCAGCGGCGAATCGCCATCACAGACAAATTCAGACTACCACCTCGACACTTCTTCTGTTCGGAGTATAACAGAAGAGCAGGCTTCAAGAAAAGTCAAGAAACTTCATCTTCTCTCTCTCAAAAATACTGATGTACCTCTCACTCTCGCTCACGAGGCCGATCCATTCACCTCTTTCTTACTTTTGAGGGCTTACAGAATGGACGAAGAAGCGGGCATGTTACCCCAAGTTCCTGACCTGGTATCCCCATTTCTGCAGCAATCGCAAGAACTTCACACGTGGATGATTTCAACGGTACTCCCTCTAGTCAGACGAAACTACGAGTATTATCCACAAAGGCCTATACGGTATTCGCTGCTTGAGTTCCAGAATCTACCTGCCAGGATGGCCATCGATTATCTACTCGCTGAGACAGGTGCCGTCGATGATGAGTTTAACCTAGCTGGCCGTGATCTGAGTGGGCTTGTTGGGCCTTGGCTCCATGACGAATCGAGGTGGAAACGCGAGGCCTTTGACCAAGATGTATCAAATGAGACGGATGCAGCGTCTGAGTTATCATGTCCTGGTTGGGAGCAGGCCCTCGAATGGCTCGCCTCTAAAGCGGCAACATCCTGGCCAGTCGCCCTCAAAGCCATTGAATCCTGGGATGGGCCATCGGATATAGACCTGGGAAATGATGCCGGGTCGTGGCTTCAGGAAAACCAACAGCAGTATCTCGACCGCTCTTATGCCAGAGCCGTCTTAGCTTCTGCATATCTTATCTCTGATGCAGACGCGGGGGCTCTGGAGGCAGCCTTCAGAATTTGCAATAAGATTCGGTCCCTCTTGGACGAAGACTCTGATATAACACTCCAATCAGCAGTAGAAAATCTTACCTCCGTTCCGCCTTTCGATATGGATGCATTTGGCGGAGCCAAAGCTGCGACATACCTACGTAACGACCTATTACAAAGCTCAAATCCTATTACGACCCCCAAGGAGGAATCTCTTGATCTTCTCCCTGCTCTCATCCAAAGCGCTTATCTTCTTACACACTCAGGCGCCCCCTGCACAGTTCGTAAAGCTGGGGATCTAGCGTTTATTCAGGATCAGCAGGAACAAAAATCGCAAATTAGCCGGCTTATACGAAACCTCCCAACTCGTGCATCTGAAGACGACGGTTTCTGGATCCGGGCACGAAAAGAGATACTGTGGCTGCACGGTTGGGGCAACAGCCCGAAGGCCACCGGAGACGAAACTTTGCAGGGCATATTTGGCAATGTGACCCTGGAGTTCATTGAGACAGAGCTTCTGAAAGCGATGCTTTCGCACTCACGTAGGTATCATGAGCATGTCGATATGGCCAAACACCTGACACGTCTTAGGATACAACCTAGCAAGAACCCTTTACGATCAAGAAGGGCCAGATGCGCCTCTGTCGGTATCTGCCGTGCTAAACACGGCACAAAACGCAGCTCTTGGGGCGTTTGACAATGCTTCAAATCCAAACCGAAATAGAGGGGGATTGAAAAGATGCGACGAAATGTAAGTCAGTTATTATGTCCTCGGGGCACCATTGTTGACAGTCAAATCAGCCTCAAAGCTTTTCCGAGAACGTTGGGTGCAAATCATCCCGTCAGAAAACGCATCGAAGCATTGTTGAAGGCTACTCATGCCTTGAGCGACTATCGCCTGGTACTCAAACAAGGCGAACCTTTCAGTCCTGTTGTACTTCGAGTGCACTCTGATCCGGTCTCGATTATCGAGAAAGTTCTAGAACAAAATCCCAAAGCGTACACACGTTTGCAAGAGTTTGAGGAACTAGGAAACAACATGATCCATGCGAATTTGCCAATTTGCGTGAGGCCAGGAAAACAGCAGCCGATAGCAGAGGATCAAGACACGGCCAAATCATTGGTCACAAAACGAATCGTCGCCATGTGCATCGAAGCTGCTTTGCGCGAAGACGACTTCGAAACTGCATACTCTTACGTGGTAACCCGTCTTGGTGCCGATGAGAACGTACATAAGTCACAGCCTGCAGGTATATCTGACGAATGGTCATGGAAGGCAGCGCTTGACGCTGGTAAGTATGTCCGCACGGAGAGATCCCAGAAGCCAACGCATCTCGGAACGGCAAGTGGAAATCCCGAGATACGTCATCTCGAGCAGCGGATTGAGTGCCTAGCAACTTCTCTACGGATAGCACCCCCGTCTCAGCTTCAGGAAGTATTAAAGACCTTCCGTCGTTGTGAAGAGCAGTTAGATGCTGCAATCAAGGAGGAGGCTGTTCGAGAAGCTGCCTGGGATACCGCAGGTGACCTTTCGGGTCTCCCTGGCTCGTTCGATACACCAGGCCCAGATAAGGCTTATCCACCCCGCAACATATCTGCCAGCGCGACAGCTCGTCAAGCCGAGGAAGCACCAATGTCTCTCTTCGATCTTTCCAGAGCGACAGCCAGGGTCGCGTCCAGGAACCTGACTGTGTTGTCAAGCTTGCAGGGTTCTTTTACATCGGATAAGACGAATGCAGAGTCCGAGTCCTCTGAGTTCGAGTCGCATGAGCAGAACAGAACAAGGAAGAGGGATCAGCTAAGAGAGGCTGCGACTGGTACACTGGTATCTGGCGTGGGGTGGCTGCTTGGAGCAAATCCGAATCGACCTACAAGTGGCCAGCAGTAACCAGACGTGTGCCTCATCGGGGACCATTTATCAGAGGGCGAGGAAGCAGCCTTGGAATAGCAGGTCGGGTTCTTCCGAAACGAAAGGTCACCACAGGCAGACATTCAGCGCAATCGACCTGCCATCAAAGTTACTTACATTTTTTCAATTTCCATGCAAAGGATGCAGGCGGGCTGGGCCCTCAATATAAGTTGATGGAATCATCTCCATATTGTCCCTATACACATATGATAAGAAGCTATGACCATCTCGAAAGCGTGACCGACAGGTCAAAATACCGAGCTGAATAACCGCGGAGACGTCAAGGCGCATCAAGGGTGGAGGAAGTTCGGTAACACAAATATTTACAGAGTGATAAACTGAAACTAGTTAAGAGACTGCTTCTATGGCAACTATTTATTACAGCCAATTTCTCGATATGCTTTCAAGTGAATACAACGCACTGTCAAAGGCATGCATCGCTGGATGCTCCATGTAGGCTCCATTGCAATCCCCTTTGAGTGATGGGGAAATTGAAATAGTATTTCCGCACGGCTACAACTCTTGTCTGAGTCAGCCCTTAAAGGAGCATTGACCCAACTCACTGTTTGGACTTGAGGCAGCGAAGACATCGGCAGTTGTCCTCGTATATCAAGATAACCAGTTTGGGGGATCACCCTACCATTCAGTCAGCAAGATCACAACTTGCAGTCCTTACCAGTACGCGGGTCCAGTCCTGTAGTTTTGCAAGAATTAGACTGGATGTTAGCGATAAGTTTGCAGGATTATAATCCCAGCGGTGTGTCGGAAGAGCTTGGCGAGAAGACGGTGGTTGAGAGGACTTCGTGTACCGAATCGCTGAAAGCCGAGAAACATTATAACTCCCCCCCCCGCGTGAACCTAGCGATAGCGGTTTTCATTGATTGATTGTCAGAGTTGTAGGGGGTATCAAGTTGTTTTACAGCGATGTGTGATTTGATTGGCGGTGGGTGAAACATTTACAGGCGTCTCTGAGTCAACAACTAAAGTCAGTCAGGACGAGCAGAGCAGAGCAGAGCAGCAGCCACAAGTGACCATCTCGCATACCCCATAATAGTATATATGTGATACGAGGACAGCACGGGCAGTTGAGTCGCGAGGCCGCATTCGAAGTTGAGTTTGATAGTCCATGTGATTCACCGATTAGGCCGGAGTCGACATCTGGTTGATGTTGTGCTGGCAATAGCTATCATAAAGTCGTCGAAGACGCGATGGATGACTGATGAAGTGTTTGATTTGCAAAGATCCGGAAGCTGCCAAATGTGGTCCATCTGTGACCTTGTTGCAAAACCGACGACCAGCAACAAAACTCAAGTGACGCAGGCCGAGTACCCTTTTTTGATTCCAATCCCTTAACTGTCGCAATCACACTAAACTCCTGTGTGAGCAGAGCCCGATTCAGTCTGCTGTGGTCCATGAAAGATAAGAAAACAACGAGTAAATAACAGTTAACAGAAGAAAATTGAACAAGCAAAGTTACGGGGTTAGTAAAGGAAAGAAGAATGGACGCGTAATCCGAGAGACGGATCTTTCAGTCGAGTCGTGACAAACATCAGTTATTCGTTCACTGAATGTTACGATCGGGAGCGCCTGGTAGGGTTAGCGTGTAAATGATTGGGAGGAAGTCAGTGGTAAAGCGAACCTCCATAGGCATCGCGTGTCTCGGATCGAGAGGCAGATTCGCCATAACCAGCGCCTCCAGCGCTGGCAGCCGGGTCGCGAGTTCGAGCAGCATCTCGGTCGCCTCCGCGTTCGTATCGGTCACCACCACGTTCGTAGCCAGAACCTCCAGGGCCTCCCCGAGGGCCATAGCGGTCTCGCTCTTCACGACCGCCACCGCCACCACCTCCTCCTCCGTAGCGATCACGGCCGTAGCCCTCGTCACGGTCACGGCGTTCATAGCCTCGATCATAGTCGCGGCCACCATAGCCTCCTCGATCCTCATAACGACGCTCATCGCGGTAGCTGCGATCGTAGTCGCGGCCACCGCCACTTCCTCCTCCTCCGCCGCCGCCGCCGCCGCCGCCGCTGCTGCCACCATAACCACCTCCACGGTCATCATAGCGTCGCTCATAGTTGCGGTCGTAGCCACGGTAGCGGTAAGGGTCATCACGGCCGTAACCACCGCCGCCGCCGCCGCCGTAACCACCACGTCGGCGGTCATCGTAACGTCCAGGACGAGGCTCTGTGACTGTTCAGTACAATACCCAATATGTCGCTGCTGGGATTCCTTACCTCGTTTGGGTGGGCCAAAGTACTTGCCAGGAGTTGGGGTACGAGGGCGGGCTCGACGGGCCTTCTCGATGCTCAGGGTGCGGCCCTCGATCTGTTCGCCCTGAAGACCCTCTTTGGCAGCTTCGGCTTGTTCAGATGTAACCATCTTGACAAAGCCAAATCCGCGGGACTCTTTGGTGTGAGGGTCACGCATAATTTGGCACTTCTCAACATCGCCATATTTCTCAAACATCTTGGATACCTCAGCTTCGGAAAGCTTCGGGTGGATACCTGTGACAAAGAGGTTAGATCCAGGGTTGATAGCACCATCATCGTCGTCCCGGGAAGCAGACACGTCCTTCATGTTGCTATTGTGGATATATATGTCAGTATTTGTCGATGATCTGGGACTCATTGGAACGAACCTGTCACCATGGCCACCGGGTGAGGCAGAGCGACGGCGGCTGCCTTCGTTGTCCTCGCGAGGACGAGGCGAGGCACTTCGGTTGTCGCGCTCATATCGAGGAGCCTCATCTAGAGCAGGCTGGTTAGCTATGTGCGCAAGCTGAAAAGATAGGAGAGGAGGGGCTGATCGGGCGACGGGGAGGTGCTGAGTATAGAGTGCGGCAGGCGAGTTTAATGTAGTGTTGTTCAAGCAAATAGTAATGAAGAGCAAGCGAGCGCGTTGATGCACGCGCTTGGAGCTGGCAACGAACCTTCGTACCGGTCGCCATTGGCAGCCTCGTAATCCATCGCGGTAGTAGCCATCTCTGTTGATCTAGCTTTGTCTAGTAAAATAGAAAATAGACAATGAGGCCAGAAATGGTTTAGGTGCGGTGGCTGACGATGAATAGCTCACGCGCAGGCTGGTTTGGTGAAAAGGCGATGTTGAAGAAGGGAGAAAAAAAAAGTCGGCGTAAGGGGAAAGGGAAAAGCAAAGGCGCCGCAAGGCAGCAAAGCCGAGTATTAATAAGTGTGATAAAACACGATTTAAAAAAAAAAAAAAAAAAAAAGGAGAGCCTGGGAACGCGGAAACTAAGTTAACAGCGGTCTTATTAAAAATGCTGTGCAACAAAGAGAAAGAACAAAGAAATCTCAACGTTCGTTGGCCGGATAGAAAGACTTTGGTTAGGCCAAAGATCAAACGTACGTACGAGATGGTGATGGGCAAACAGCACCAGGCGAGTTGGCTCGGAAGTGGATGGGCCTGGTGATGGGGACGGATGATGAATCGAGGTGTGCGTGCTTGCCCGTGTTTGGTTGGAAATTGATGCGGACAAGGGCGAATCCAATTGCGACGTTAGCGCTACCCGTCAGCGAGGCAACTACAGTCCGCAGGGATAGCAAATGTGCATTTCAGCGATTTTTTAGGTATATATTCCCACAATAGAATTAAATATACCAATAAGATCAGATAGGCTTAGTATATCTGTAGAGATAATACTAGAGTGATCAGCAAGGGAAATATAGCAGATTGGCCACTGGAAGAAGTACCGATTTTACATTTGCTATCCCTGAGGGCTGTACCTAACGTAGCAGGGGACAGGGCTTGGGTTGCTGTCTGAAGCGCTGATTGCTGAGGCTGAGGTACCTGAAGGTGGGTAAAAAGCAAGTCGAGTTTGGGGTATCGCCTCAACTTCAAGCCAGTGTCATTGTCCGAAGGGAACACTGTCCATTCCATTCAGTCGATGGAAGGGTATAACCCGCCGTACCCGACGGTCTGGCAACTAACGTTAGGCGGTACTCCGCACGTACATACCATGTGATTCTCTTATTACAGTACCACCCATCGGATGGGTACAGTATTGTCCTGCATATATGGAGTAAAGGTACAAGAGAGGTTGTTGGTAAAGTGTCTCGACGTCACCTGGAGAGTTCAGTTTCAAGTGCCTACCCTGGAGCTTCATGTATATGCTACGCCTCCAATATACTGTCAATTATTCCCCAAACTAACCACTGGCTGTTTCAAGCGGGGAATCTCGATCCAGCCAGCCATGAAGCCTAAGCCTATATCTATACATAAATATCCTTTTGTACCATAGCATCTGACTCATCTCTCAACTGCTATCTACCCAGTAGCCAACTCACGACCTTGAAGCCACAGGCAATGTCACTCCGAGGAAAAGTTTACGCGCTGACTGGCGGTGCAAGCGGAATCGGCTTCGCAACAGCCAAAGTCCTTGCAAAACGCGGGGCTACTGTGAGCATCGCCGATATTGACCCCGATGCCGTGTCAACTGCTACGGCATACTTTGACGAGCAGGGCCTCGAGGCTCTAGTTTCTCGTGTCGACGTCTCACAACGGCCCCAAGTTGAAGACTGGCTAGACGCTACTGTTGAGAAATATGGAAGACTCGATGGGGCAGCTAACGTGGCTGGTATCATCGGGAAGCACCACGGTCTTCGTGCCGTAGCGGAGCTTGAGGACGAAGAGTGGCATAAGATCATCGCTGTGAACTTGACAGGAACAATGTATTGTCTACGGGCACAGCTCAACAGGATAGTAGACGGAGGCTCCATCGTCAACGTTGCTTCTATTCACGGCATCAAGGACAGGCTGCAAACTGCACATAAACGAGATCTCTAAAGCTGACCAGTATAAACAGGATTTGCCAAGCACGGCGCCTATGATGCCAGCAAACATGGAATAGTTGGGTTGACGAGAGCGGCAGCAAAGGAGAACGGCCACCGAGAGGTGCGAGTCAACGCTGTTGCCCCTGGAGCCATATATACCCCATTGATGAAGAAGGCATGGGATATGCACAACCGACCAGAGGACGCCGCTTTCGACGAGCCGACTGCCTTCCAGCGCCAAGGTACGTCGGAAGAGTGTGCCAATGTGATAGCTTTTCTCCTCGGTCCTGAAAGTACCTTTGTGAGTGGAAGCGTTTATGAAGTGGATGGAGCTTGGATATGAATGGTTAGTATTCATCATGGCATGCTAGGGTGGTAAGCCCATACACCGGATTTTGAGTCGAGTTTCAAGCTCGATGGAGTTATGGAATGGAGAATCGCATATTGATACCGTTTACCAAACATCCTCGGGATCAACCATATGATTTTCTCCATCATCTCGAATGTGCTGATGATCCTTGTCTCGCTTCATGGGCTTGCGCATGTCGAATGCGTCTTCGCTCGCCCTGGAAGGGTCAGTTGCGTGGTCACCGTAGTAGTCCTTCACCACGCGGAAGACGCTGTAACCCAGATTCTTGTAGAGGGCAATGGCTCTGTGGTTGCTGCTTCGAACGAACAAGTCCACAAACCAGGCGTTCTCAGCATCAGCTGCGACTTCCAGCTGATCAGTCAGGATCTTTGCAATGCCAGATCTTCTAGCTTCTGGGGCAACAGTGAGCGCCGTTATGTGAGCGTGCCATGGTAGGTAATGCTCGGAGAATTTGTAGGCGTCCGGAGAAGACTCGACCTTGCCCATGACTGCCAGCCAATAGGTTAGCCTCAATAAGCTGGTACTGAATGTAAAGGATAAATCTCACTATATCCAACAATGTTTCCATCCAGATCCTCACAAACTTGAAAGAGAGATGGCCATTTTGCGTGGTATTGGAGGTAGAAATTGAGCTCGTAAGTTTCCGTGAAAGGGTCGAGATTGCACTTGGAAAACTTGTTCACATCGTCAGGTCGAAACCGCCGAAACGTCGCCATATTCAGAGCTACTTTTGCGTCTTCTGATCAAGAAATATAGGAGCCGCACTATATGTAAAGGAATAGTCGTACGAAGCTGGAGTTTGTTTGTCTTCAGCCAAACAAGTGGAATCGACACAGTTTGGGGGCGTGTCTGATGAGAACGAGAGATGTACATGAGAAATCCGGACTTCAGACTGCTCCGCGGGAGCTTCTGGTCCCTACCTAAAAGTCAAGTTTGCTTCTTTTTGGTGTATCGTGGCTGTGCGATTTATTTGGAGACAACCTAGGCCACAAATGTTGGATTAACTAAAAAGTACTAGGTACCTGAGTAACGGAACCGTTTTGATATTCATTCCCTATTACCAGACAATTCTGCATAACATCAAGGTATCTCTTCCACTAGGCTGGCACTACCTAACACCAATACCCTTTGCCCGCATTAGCGCCAGTCCTGGCACGGTCTACCTTGTGTTTCGCTACTAACATCGAGCCGCCACGACTATATTAAGAAATATTAAACGCTGTGATAGTCGAGTCAAGTCGGAATAGGTACAGAGTTACCCTGGGATGTATTGGTAAGATTCCATACCATCGAAAGGGGATATCGCATATCGCATAAAGAAACGAACCTCAAGCATATGAGACGTGCTGGGAGCTCCGTCCGTTCAATGTCCTGCCCTTTTATTGGCGGCCAACTTGGTGTGATCAATAATTTAGTACTCGGTACCTTAGTAGGTCGTTAGCCAGCACCTAGCAAGGGTCCCTGGTCACCTAAGCCGATATCATTTCAAGCGTCGCCGACCCTCCCTCGACATCCCCCATTTTGAAAGGAGATCAAGCAACCACTAACTCTGTGATACAATATTTTATTGGAAGAGAGAATCGATAAAAAGACCGAAGCTTCCTGATTCACATCGCGACTCGTGAATCAAGGCGGTGTCCAATCCGCTGCACTTGGCGGTGGAACGGTGGTAGTCACAGGCCTGTGAGTCTAGCCAGGTCGTGGGAGGACTCCTCCATCTGCAGTTCGACACATCAAAGATGCCATCATCGCCGCATACTCCCAGACACTCTCGGAATTCGTCCGCCTTCGATAGCTTCTCCGGCTCGCCCCAAGCCCGAAGGCTCTCCAAGTCATCGGTGCAGGAACCTTCGACCCCATTCCGGAACAGCTTCAATCAGCAGGATGCATCCGACTTGGGTGGAAACGGCATGGGCAACCTAGCTGATGAGCTTGCCGATGCCTTTTCTGACTCAGGAGACGAAGGAGAATACACAGATGGTGATGTCAACAGTGACATGTTTGGAGCTGAAGGGGAAGGACAGGGCAATGATCAGATGGATGAGATCGAAGATACCGAGGACACCAGTAGTCCAAAAAAGCAAGGAAGTGATAGGGCAAAGGCTATGAACCTCACGCTTCTCTCACCTCGACGGAAACACCAGCGTCAAACTAGTAATTACGATGGGAGTGAATATGGCTCGGAATCCGACCTGGATTCCCCTGGTATGCCACCGGGCTTGGTGTCCAAAATGGATGCTGTAGAGTCGCTGGCTCGGAGAGGAACAGAGAACTACGGTGGCCCAACAGACGATGTTTTCAGGAGAGTGACGAACGCCCTGCGGGATCTCGGCTCCCAGTCAAGTGTTGAAGCTAGCGCCTCAAGGTTTGTAGATACGATGGCGTTTTTAATACAATTTGAGGCTAACATAGATCATAGGTTGATAACGGCACACTCAGCGTTGACCACGCACCTGAATCACCAATCTCGCCAGATCCATAACCTGTCCTTCTCTTTGCTGTCTCCTCTTGTTGCACCACCGGACCCAGAGACCATTGACGACTTGATACCGTTGCTCTTAAACCTCTCTGATGCCATGCCGCGGCCTTCAACATCGGCCTTCAACTCCTTGACTAGCCTCCACACCCTTACAACTGAGCTTGTCCAAAACCTCAATTACCTTTCCGACACACTACACATGTCTCGCCAGACAACGACAATGGCGACAAGAAGACTGAAGAGCGCAAAGGAGATTGTGGCTGAGATGAGGAGGGAAGAGGAGCTTAGAGAGGAGGGCGAGCGATGGTTGACAAGGGGCAATTGGGGAGAACGTCTGGAGAAGCGAGAATGTGCAGGAGTGTGTGGAGATGTGATTGGCGGATTTGAGGAGGTCTGCAATGGATGGCGAGAGAGGCTGCTCGCGCAAGCAGAGTCTCAAGCATGAACAGTGGAATGAGTCGAATGCTCGTGTGCTGGTGGTGCGGGACATACTCACTCACATGCCGACCCTTTCCAACATTCGGGCCTTGGGGCCTTCATTTTGTTGCGCATACATATATATCCCTGACTGACTGATATCATTCTTTTTCCTTTTCTTTTGCCCCCTTGAAAATGCCATTCCATTTTTTTTCTTTGTTCATTTTCACAATTTTTCAGGGTGGCTTGACTTTGCTTTGAAGGAACAAGGCGCATCAAGGTATGGAGGGAGTTCTCTGTTGGGAGACTGCCCTCGACACGATAGAACAATTTTTAGAGGTATCGTCAAAGCACGAACAATAGAATGAAGTGATGACTCAAGGTTCCCATGACTGCAAGCTGTAGGATATTAGACTCCATTCAGTGTTACAGAGTTCAGAGTTCAGCTTTCAGTCGGGCGTACAATAACACCCAAGATATCGTACAGCGTGAACGGTTGTAATTATTTACCACAGCTTATCTAGGGGAGGAAAGAAAATCCACGACTTCAATTTTAAAAAATATAAAAGACTTAGGTAACTTAGCATAAGTTTAGAATATCTTTTGCTGTATCTACTTTGACTCCCCACGCCAAGGTCTGATTTCTTCTTGCTCCTCAGGCTTGTTTTCCCAGAATCGACATCAGGTCGTGTGTGGGGTGGAATTTAGAAGCCATCCGCGTGGCCACAGTCCAGTATTCATGCTAGGTTCCTGCGACCCATCATCTGGCCAAAACATTCCATTGGAATTCAGGTGGGGGGAGGAGAAAAAAGGGGACAAGAGGGGAAAAGAGCGACGCGGATTAGACGCGTTGAGTGGCGTGTTGTCGCGAATTAACGCGAACCGTGTCAACAGTATTCCTCATCCGTAATAGCACTGTAGACAGAGCCAGACGCTTATTGGACGCTGACACGCTGACTGTCTGAGAGGCCACAGACAAAGGACACAAACAAGCAATGCAATTGATGACAATTCAGAGCCAATCAACTAACTTAAGCCCCCAAGGCTGGGGCAGAGAGATCGCGCTATATACGCGCGTGTTACGTTCTGCTTGCGATCCAGTTAGTGGATTAGCTATATTATTAGTGAAGATCACTGATATCAAGATGCGTAGGCACCTAGGAAAGGTGAGTAGAGCATGTCGCTCTCTCATTGTCTGTGATCGTTCAAACGATGAGGCCTGGACTGACTAGCTGCGGAACGTCCCGCTTGTTTGTTATAACCTTAGCGTGTAGACTGCTCCGAGACCGGCTCCGAAAATATTGATTGTCCAGATACAAACAAAATAAAAATAAATAGTCGTCTCACATCCGGGCAGCAGGCCTTACAAATATGCGTATGTATGTTGCAAGGGATCAGCCTCAATCAGTCAGCCTCAAATTTTTATTATTCTCCTACTTCCTGTATCTCACGCCCTTCTTGTTGCGTTGCCCATGTGCATGTTGTTGTTTTTGTATGCGTCTAAGTCATGCACAAGGCGAATGTATGCGCTTCTTCTCAATGACATGCATCATATATAAATCTTTATTATGTTTATTATGGTTAGTTTGAGAGGCCAGTAGTATTAATTTTAATCACTATGGCGGCCGTGAAATAATCATATGTACCTTGTCAAAGCTCCATTTCTTATTGAGATCCAAATCGAATGCACAGCATGCCTTTGTTTGGTGATGCTTTCTTCCAGAGTCGATACCTCTTTTCCTCGTAGCCGTTGAGAATGACGCAGCAGCTGACACTAAAGACAGACAAATGCCGTGCCATGTGCTCGCCGGCACCAACCGAATACCCGGATTGCCTATGTTGGTAAGTAAGGTACTGCTATCATGAATCAAGAGGGATCCTCCTGATAAGAGAGGGAGGGGGTAACAAGGAACAATATAGTTTCAACGGTCGCAAGAAGAAGAGGAATGGGGAAGAAGAATTGAGCCTCATAAGTTCTATTTGAAAAACAAGATACCTGCCCATGACGAACAGTGCTTGTTCATTCGATCGCGTGTCACTATGCTCTAGTCCATTGCGTTCAATAACAGAATCACGGTTCTTCTGCTATTATTTTGGTTGTTGTTATTGACCCGCGCGTTTCCTGGTCGTCCGCGGTCCCTCCTTGTCAAGCCAGTCCGGGGGGCACAGGGGGTTTTGTTCCGACGTCTGAGCTATCTGATTGGCCACGCGGTCTCTAGCGCGCCATGAGAGCCCCAGTTCAACCTCCCTCCAGCAGCAACAAGCAACAGCCATCCCTCACGAGAGCTGCGACCCTCTTCCCGCCACCCCTAGCGCATTTCTGCCCAGCACCACCTCAGCGCTGGACATTACCGCACCTCACCCGCCCGCTCCAACCTCCGTCCTCCACTACTGCTGGCTCTGTTTGACTTGGATCTTGCACCTCACGCCTCATATCGTCAACTATCGCGTCGTGCGCCATCACAGGCTTGCCCTTTTCGCTTTCTTCCAGTCGACGGCCATCGGTTCTCTTCAGCATAATATTACCTTTATCGATTAAGAACGAGCTCGCTTTATTAACGTCATCGAGTATTGTGATCAACGCTTCCAG